TTGTGAGTTAGTTAGGCCACCAAGTGTATCATCACAAATGAAATCTACACCACAAAAAGTACAAAATAGCAAAATAAAAGCATCTCTGAGAATTCATGTTGAAAGTTATTAGAAGAGTACATGCAAAAATGAACTATTGGTATAAGTGTTCAAGTGCTTATGAATAGTTGTGACAGTGATAATGCATGTGAAATCAAATGGTTCCATATTTAATGTGTAGATATTTTAGGTAGGTACACCAAAGTTGGCATGGTTTTGTGAATTTTGATAAAACAAGTTCTATTAAAAAATATCTACCTATTCATAATATATCAATCTACCATTGTTCATTTTTGTTTCAATCAGATCAATGAATACCTATAATGTTCTATAAAGATTTTTTCATGACCTATGTAGTAGATCTCTTGTAATATACATTACCTACTGTGGAATAATACTGTATTTTTCATTTATAGAATATTACAATTTTGATATAAGTACTAACTATATATTAAAAAAATTAAGTATTTTTTTTCAATAGTGAATCACCAATAAACGAAAATTTTATTGCATAATAGAGACATTTTTAACCAAAATTAACAATATTTTTACCCTCATAAAAAACAAAACTTTTATCTATAATCAATAAAAATAAATCACAACAAACTATAATTTGTAAAAGTATAATATGGAATCTATTGTAGCTTTTCACCTCATTTTCACCAATAATCTCTACTATGTCTTCATCTCCCAGACACTTTCTTCATTACACTAAAATGAATATAAAAACATATTAATATACCTAGTTTACTAATAAAGCAAGGCTTCATGAAGTAGGTAATTAGATGTTTTCTTGGGAACATACCAGGTCTCTTGGCTTTGATGCTTCATTACTGGATTTCTGATTTAAACCTTTTCTCTGCTCTCAGTTTTTGATCCACATCAGTCTTGTGTTTTGAATGGGCTAGAGATTGATGATCCATATTATACTGCCCAAGCTGGATGATTTTCATCTTTCAGGCACTAGGTTCTCCTACAAGGTAAATACATTATGTGTGTATTGAAAACAGGAGTGAAAACATGATGTTTCCAAACCATGTAGGGCTATCAAAGGTAATGAGTATTGGCTTCTTTCATCAAAATGAAAAATGATATATGTTTTCAATAGCATGAAATAATAAATTCATCAGTTCTAGAGTAGGTATAGGTACATATGAATAATATTAAAATCCTTTTTCTCAACTACCTGTAATGAAAATAGTGTCTGCTACATATCCACTGGTTTATTATGAATGTTTCTGTTGTTGATTCTTTCTCTTGATGGCTGCTATCCACATTTCCCTTATTTTTCTTGATAGATCCTTCATCTGTGGGTAATGCACAGAGTTTTTCACAGTATCACAGTAGGAAAGGGAATAAACATCAAATGGTCCCACCACAATACATGTTACTGGCATTTTCTCTCCAAAATCATACTGAGTTTTCATTATTCATAATTAATCTAAACAAAACTTAATCTAAATACTGTCTGTAGGTTAATCGAGGAGGTGGTATATTCATTATTCCAAATTTTTTGGGATTTTCTCTCCTCGTTTCTATAAAATAAAAATATGATAGGAAAATTCTTTAAACGCAGTGACATTTTGGGGCAAATCATCTGATTTGTCCTTACTACACGTATATTGAAATAATATTCATATTTTTATTTTATAGAAACGAGGAGAGAAAATCCCAAAAAATTTGGAATAATGAAAACTTAATCTGACTCAATAAAATAATACTCTAAAAGGCTTCCAAAACCCACAAAGTTCTCAAGTAAACAAACGTGTCTTTGATTTGTTTTTGTTTACCAACCAGACGGCCTACGAAGGTTAGGTTAGAATAATTCTTCTTCTCTATTGATATTTCGACGATTGCGCTGTTGCCAGGCTCACAAAAAAGTTTGGGTTTGAATAAAATTAAGATCATTATAACGAATATTAGGATGTTATTACTGACACTGAATCATCATCTTGCAAGGTATATAAGTATTCATTAAGTGATTATCAGGAACCAGGTGGCCACATTGTCTTTTGCGAACGTAAATACTCTGTCATTGGTGATATTGAATCTCATAAGGTAATTACTGGCTATAAATTTGGCAACGATGGCTATTCTCCGTGCCAGCAGGTTGATGACGTCACGAAACCTGGCGTTTTTCGAAGGTTCTGATTTTCAATTAATGAAAAAACGTATTTTAGATGATTTTAAATAAGGACTGATAGCATCAACTACTATTTACACATGGACTGATCAATATAAAATAGGTAAGTGGCGTGAATTCGATTAGAGTGTACAACCCCATTTGCAAGATTCGTTAATATTTTCGATGAAATACAAAATATTCAAGCAATTCAAGGAATGAATGGCAGTTTGAGAAAGAAGTTCAGTTTGAAGCTATTTTTAGAATAGGTACAACAAAATGGAAAAACATCTACTTTAGATATGGTGTTGTACACACTAGTTGAATTTGAGACATTTTATTTTGATCATTCCATGTACCTTTCAATAATATTTGATACAGTCATTCATTATTCAAAATCATCACAAATATATTTTTTCAGTTATGAAAATAATCATCTCTCACTAGATGTCGATGACGTGATATATACCGATTGGAACGAATAGTGTCATATTTCTCAACAACCAATGAAAATATATCCACATTCCACATAGAAATAAAAATTCACTTCCACAATAGTAGTGTACTGTGATACGCACAATACATAATTAAGTCGTATCGTATACAGGGTCCAAACGATTTAATTAGGGACATTATTGCCATTTCCTAAACTGTGAGAGATATACAGTTGATTAAATTGAACAAACGTTGCGTAATTTGGACCTCTTCAATACGGCGTTTTGGAATTTGGTAAAATGTCAACAGCAAATGAAATATTTTGAAAAACCTCAAAATCACTGATCTCATTTTTATTTAGTTTCATGTTCATATTGGAAGAAAATAACTCATTACTTATAACTATCATTGAAGATTTTCATTTAGTGTTAAACTTGGTCTTGACATGAGTTTTAATTTGGTTATATTTTTATGATAGAATTAACTATTTATCAATAATCATTAATTTCGAGAAAATGATGTGGAATATTTGACCGAATTGAAAACCTCAAGTTATGGAAAACTTGAGCAGATCAAATTTTTTTTACTCTCAATGTGGAACTTTACGACCAACTCTTACATTGACGGAGAAGAATATATCGTAGGAAGAGGCCAGATGACATGAAAAGAAGAAGTATATTCATCAGTTCTACCAACTCCTTCACGTTTCAGTGATGCGAATTGCTGGACAGTTAGCCCTCATTGTTTAGAAAATATAAAGAGCTCTGAGAAGAAAACGGTTTGTAACAGTGAACTAGTTTGGGTTACTATTTCAAAATGAAGAAATAACATTTTTCACTCAAACAGACCCATTCTGGATAACGTCGGCTTGTCGCAAGAATTTGTGCAGGCACTACTGAAAAAATGCCCAAAATTTACTAATTCCATATCTCAAGTACAAACACTAGTAGAAAATGATAAGGTCAAAAAGAGCAATTTTGCAGATACTTTTCAATGTGATTCAATAAGATCGAACTCATTATCGAAAAGTTGTTTAGACCGACGAGATCCACTTATATTTGCATTTACAACAGAAACAACCAACGATATTGGAGGTCAGAAAATCCAAGACTTGTCGTTGAAACCTATTTCCAAAACAGATTCAGTGTGAATGTGTAGTGCGGTATTTGGTGTGATCGACTTATTGGTTTATTTTCCATAGATGGCACCCTAAATCAAAGGAGATATCACCCGCATAAATGTCAATTGGTCGTACACTACATTTGATTGGAGGTGGATAGGAACTAATGAACCAGGCCGATGGCCTCCGTTTTCATCCGATCTCACACTACTCGATTTTGGTTGCTGGGTTATCTTGAAGATTGACTTCATCTGACATTCAAAAATTGTGAATGAAATAATTTCAGCACAGAATTATCGATGCTTGTCATGGAATACCTCCTAATTTTATCTTGAACACAACTTATGAAGTAGTCGATTCGGAGACATTTAAAATAATATAATAATTACAAAATGTTTCTTTTAGTTTTTCCAGATTGATTATGCACGAAAATCAACTTTTTATGCATCTCTGAATTCAGAAAAATATCTAACAGAAACAATATAAAAAACATATTACACCATTTTTACAAAATTGATAGTCCCTGACGTAAGTGTTGAAACTGTAAAAAAATATATGAATAATAAAACTAAATAGAAAAGTGACTTCTAATTGTATTTGAGTTGTCATTTCGATTGCTTTTTTATTCATCAAAAGTGGACAAGATTGCTATTGCATGGAGCGTTTTTTTTGTCAGTCTGTATGAAGAAAAAAGCCCCCCCCCTATTCAAGCAGGCCCTTCATTGGCTCTGTTTCGTAGTACATGGTAGTACTTAGCATGTGAAGAAACAACATCGCTTCTCAACGAATCCTATTTAGGAGGCATAGACACTTAGTTTTTTTGAAATGAAAAACATTATTCAACCTGTATGAGGAACACTGCTAAATGGCACATGGTTGCTCTCAGATAAAAAAAATAATAGCATCCAATTTAGTACGAAACAACGAGAATATATTTCGTTTCATGAAAGTGTTGAGTAGCATCCATCAAGACCCGAAACTGGTGTTGGAATGAACATTTCATCATCAGTGATGTGATATTTTACTTCACGCAACTGGTTACGTAAAGTAAAACGGTTCACAACTTCCGTCAGTTTTGAAAAGTGTCAAATTACATGTCAAAATCAGAAACAAAAAAAAAACGATAAGTCTTCTGTTTCTGGACATTTTCCTTCAGCATTATAATATTAATAGTCCAATTTGGTTTCACCTTCCTGAGAAGTTGATGTGAAATTTGAAATTTTCATATGCCCCATTTCAATTGCATTATTTGTACCGCATCATTTCAAAAGAATATTGTTTCAGACGTTCCTGTATATAAAAAACAAAATGATAATTGGATGTACGGTAGCTATAGCAAAATCGGAAGGCCATCAAATGCTGTCTACTGATGATAATGAAGCGGACCTTTGTTCAGAGCGAAAATACCCTATCAGGTGCGGAATACCAAGAGTATGGGTAGCGCACAATCACAGAAGACGAGGAATAGCCACTGCCCTCATGAACTCCGTCAAAACAAACTTCATTTTCGGGTATGCTCTCAGGAATTCAGAAATTGCTCTCAGTCCACCCACCGAACTGGGCAAACTGTTTGCTCAAAAATATTTTGGTACAGAAAATTTTTATGTTTACTACATTTGAATTCTACTTTTTATCATTTTTCTTCTTTATCTTCAATAGAGCCTTGTACATGCAGTATTAATATATTATGTTGAGTGTTTTAGATATACCTGAATTTGAATATACTGTACAATTTTAAGACATTTTGACTCATATTGGTTGAATTACAGTAGAAACTCACTATTGTGACCGTTTGTGAGTGATAACAATTTGTTGAATGCATGTTGTAAAAACATGAAATCAAATAAAATACAATCAAACAATTGTACTGCATATTTCATTTGCATTTTTCGCCTATTTTCCGATGCGTCAGCTAAATGAGATTTTACTGTATTTTGTTTTAGTCATTTTAGTAGAATCTTGCTTTTCTCTTGGCAATTTATCATAGTCGCAAGATTTCAGTTTTGTTATTTGGCAAGGAGGCACATCCAATATCTCTAAAACAGTGGCCATTAATTCCTTGACTCATCAAAGCCAACAACTAGAAAAAAATGTTCTAGATTTCGTTTGATGGTCAATTTTCATTTTTCGATGTTTGTTTTATTTAAACGATCTAAAAAGCATTCGACAAAATAGTTTATCATTATATCTTTCAATTCCACGGATGTGAGCAGTGCCGATAATAACATTGAAAATATTTTGCCTACCTGTTAATTCGAACTAAGATTTCGAATCTTCGATCATTATACTACGATCGCCCCCAGCATGCTGATTTGTTAGATGAAAAAATATACAGTATCAACAAAATGATGCCGGCCAGTATGAATGAACGACATTGTTTGTTACTTGTGATAGTTACTTATTTAATTTCTGGTGATGCACGTTTGTTTTTTACTATACATTTACCGTTTTAAGATAGCCCATTGAGAGGGTTTATATAGTAATAGTAGAACATCAAAATGTTCGGGTTATACAGTATGATGCAAATGTATGGAATAAATTCATTATTTCAGAAATGGGCGACATTTGAAGAAATTACAAAAACACGTGAGTTTTAATTTTTGAAACCTCATCTCATGACATTCATATGAGAGATGTTACGTCACCGGTGTTGGAGTAATGACGTAATGGACGGTTTTTTTAAATACAAACAGGGGTCATGTGACACCTCGTTTGAAAGGTCTACTGATCGTCTATCCAATAGTCAAAATTTTGCAAAAGAAGATTGAAATTAAAATGGATTATCATTTGGTTAACTGAATCTTGCAGAGATCTTCTACTGAGAATTGAACATCGAAGGGTCGTCTAGTTGAAAAAATACATCGATAAAAAAGTTCTGAACTCTACTTTTTGGATATTTTTCGGAAGTCGTCTTGTTTTGAAATGAATTTATTCCATACATTTGCATCATACTGTATATCGGAACACTTTGTAATTGTGCAGGAAGTTTGAGATGTATAATCTTGGAGATCTCGACGTTCGAATTGCATTCCATGCGATTATTTTTTTAGTAGTTCTGAACAAACGTCAAAATTTGACGACGGGCTTGTTTGTATCATTGTCTGCTAAATATGGAGAAAAAATCTAGTGAGCTGATAATCTAGCTCACTAGATTTTTTCTCCATATTCAGCAGACAATAGTTTGGACGTAACAATATGATATGGAAATGGTAATAATTCAAAATGTCTGATAGGTGAAACTACTTTATGTAAATTCGTATATTCGAGGTTTCCCGAATTTCATTGGTCAGAGGCTGTATTCCTTTCCATCTACTTGATATCAGGAAATAACATCTATAGAACAAACGAATTTTCTGTGTATATTTTATGGAAGTATGTCGAGAACTGCTCAATGTATGGAAATTCTTGAGGAGGCTCAGCTTCCGTTGCCTCCTCTGACGAGCCGCCGCTGCTTGTGTGAGTTACTAGTTCTTCGTTATTTATTTAACGTCGGCTTTTTCTCCTACTGAGGCTAATCATCGACGCCGGTGAGCACATCACCCCCAACCGGAAATTTTGCCGAATCATCTGGTATTCCAACCAGAGGTAAGGATCTTTAACGAGTCCAACATCCATGGCTTAACGTTCCCTCCGAAGTACTGCATAATATTCCGCTACAGATGTACGGGCTTACGCGGCGTTTCCTCGAATGATCACCCATCTCCAAGTACTATAACCGCGCTCGACACTGCTTAACTTCAGATATCGAACGGCTAGTGCCTTACCTGAGGAGCTAGGTAGATGCCCAGAGTTACTAGGTAGATTTAGGTATGGTAGTGTGTAAGGATAGTAATATTAATTCAAAGGAAGGAAGGAATGCTCGAAGTCAGATGGAGATGACTTCGAGCATTCCTTCCTTCCTTTGAACAATTTCACTCCACTTTGAGCAATAGGGATTTCTACCAAAGAGTAATATCAAATGCTGGTGATATAACTTGCTGCTATGCTTATTATACTGGGTGACATTGAAATAAATACAGATATCTAAAACCCTAAGGAAGTTCGACGTATACTTACTATTAAATGGCACCAATTGAAAAATATAGGGATAAAAAAAAGTGGGTTGAAACCCACATTTCCACCCAAAGTTCTATACTCTAGCAATTCTGATGTCACCTCTGTATGAAGGACCTCACACTTTTAGTACGTAAAATGGTTCTCGGTGAAATTTTCAGAATTTTCGGTTGTAGAATTCAGTGACGGCTCGTGCCCTCAGAACCTGGGTCGGCCAGGGTATAGATATTGCTCTAAAATGCGAACGTAACACGTTGGGTCAGCGGCTTGAGTGGAGTTCGATAGCAAATAAGCATGTACAGGGTGATTCACCATAATTGTCCCCCCCTAGGGTGCTCGGAACAAATGATCTACAGAGTACTACTCGATTTTTCCAAATGGAACACACTGTATTTCATTGTATTTTTAGATTCTTCCTGAAGAGCTGATTTCATCAATGCATCACACTTGGGGTCTAGCGGGAATGATAACAGAGATATAGGGTGTTCAAAATCGAGATTTTTCAAGTTTAGGATTTTTTTGTCTCGAAATTATTCATTATTGGTCGAAACGGCTCCTATGTTTCCATCTTAATTTTTGATTAACTGTCTATCGAGATTTGATTGGAACATTTACAGGGTGGTTCAAGATTCAGAATTCTGATCACCCTGTATCTGTTACAATTATTAAATGTCAGTAGATAGTAAATCAAAAGTTGAGATATGGACATGAAAGCCGTTTTGACCGATGATGAATAGTTTCGTCTCAAAAAAATCCCAAAGTTGAAAAATCTCGATTTCGAACACCCTATATCTCTGTAATCATTCCCGATAGACCCCAAGTGTGATGCATTGAGCAAATCAGCTTTTCAGGGAGAATCTAAAAATACAATGAAAAATAGGGTGTTCCATATAAAAAAATCAAATGGTACCCTGTAGATCGTTTGTTCTGAGCACCCTGTATTTTCTGATGTAGCGGAAAAAAACTCAATCAAAAATCATTCAAGATGATATTTCAAATTTTGAAATCGGTTTAAAAATAACTGAGCTAGAGGGGGGAACATTTATGGCGAATCACCCTGTACACATAACCAAAAAATTAAATTGTCCAGCAAGAACCACGAGGTTAGAGCATTCTCGCCAGGGGAAATGGGTAAAGGAAAAGGAGGTGGATAAGGGTTAGTTGGTATGAAAAAATAATAACAAGAAAGTCGAAAAAATAAAATGAAAGAAAATAAAAATAAAATAACTCGTGAACAAAATATATTTCTATTCTGTTGAAAACGTGACGTAAACTCAAAAAAATCAACATAACCGACAACTACCCACCTAACGCGAGAAGCACAACAATGACTAAAAATTTAAATTAAATCGGTCTACGCCGTTCGCCGTTCCTGTAACCACCCCCACTCCTTCGTAGTCGGCTGGCCGAGCCCCGAGCCCGCCGTGTAGGTATAATCAGGAGTGTATAATCTCTGGTATATTTCCACAGTCCCGCGATGGGTGCATTTACGAGCTTTTTTACGATGTTTCAATACCTACTCAGCTCTTGGACTGCTGACATTTTTCTTGCCATATTACCTACATAGGCAGAGGCACAGTAGGTTACATTACAATATTCAAATTGAATTATAACTTATTGACGCTCAGAGGCACTGAAGGAAAATTCTGATACCAATATTAGATGGATATGTTGAATTATGAATCATTGAAAAATTGCAAATTCAAAAATCACCAGTCATTTTTACTGCAACTACTGCAAGCGTGAACAAAAACATCGACTTTTTTATTTTTTTTTTAGTTTGTACATTTCAAATTTCAACATCAACTTACAAATAAGTATAGGAATAAAAATTATAAATACCTACAATGTAAAATGAAAATAGAATGTCAATCATGCCAATCCGTATATTAAAAATTAGGTCGAAATGGTCGGATACGGTGCACAGCGAGCGCACTGCAAACTACTGATTACGTACGTACGGACGGCCAGCAGAGCTTGGCCGCACCCAAGGTATGACGCGTATCGTTCGCGTATACGCGAGAATTCAAACTTGAAGCGGGGAATCGGTAGGCGATGCGTCGAGACAAGAAACCACCGATCGGCCGGCCGTCTGCATCAGTGTAAAGGCGCGTATTCACCTGAGCACGAACGGGAACGAGGCAAAGTGAGGCCGAACGAATGCCTCGTTCGTATTTTTGTATGATGGCGAAACGAAGCATCCGAGGCAACGAACGAGGCAGCGATCCACCCCGTGCGGCGGCACCAATGCCGTCCACATATATTCAAATTTTTCTTTGAAGTACCGACACCGATCGGATGGCATTCGAACTGCTTCGGACCGCGCACCGCACCGTTTTCCGCGCCTCGTTGTGACGTACACACTACGCACGCTCGTTCGGCCTCACTTTGCCTCGTTCCCGTTCGTGCTCAGGTGAATACGCGCCTTAATGAGCTACGCGAGCGTTTCAACTTAAAGCGGCGTTTTGACGATGGGATTACCAGATGTCGTAGGTCCTGAATTAGTTCGTGATTTTCGGAGTATATATGCGGATGGCATACTCAAAGGTTCCAGTGAATGAAATTGAAATAGGTAGTGGCATAACAGTAGGATAATGAACGATGAATTATGAAAACAGTTTCGGGAAATAATTATATTCATCAAATAGTTCAGTAATTTTCCCCAAATTATTTGGTACGGCCCGGCCGACCCTGCCGTCCCTGACGAGCCGTCACTGGTAGAATTCGATGAACTGATTGAACCTGCAGAATCAAGATACAGGAAGGTAAAGTTATAATTATAAATCGG